CCTTGTTTGCATGGCTCCTGCTAATCTGGCCTCCCTGCTGTTCTTTGTCAACACCAGGCCTGCCTATCTATCTGTCTGTCTATCTAGCTATCCATCTGTCTATCTGATATAGTTCCTCATTTAAGAGCTTGTCATGGATTGAATTGTGTCCCCCCAAAATTTGTGTCAACTTGGCTAAGCCATGATTCCCAGTATTGTGTGACTATCCACCACTTTGTCATCTGATGTGATTTTCCTATGTGTTGTAAATCCTACCTCTATGATGTTAATGAGGTGAGATAAGAGGCTGTTTTGTTAATGAGGCAGGACTCAATTTCCAAGATTAGGTTGTATCCTAAGCCAATCTCTTTTGAGATATAAAGGAGAGAAGCTAGCAGAGAGACATGGGGACCTCATACCACCAAGAAAGTAATGCCAGGAGAAGAGTGTGTCCTTTGGACCTGGGGTCCCTGCTCTGAGAAGCTCCTAGTCCAGGGGAAGATTGATGACAAGGACCTTCCTTTAGAGTTGGCAGAGAGAGAAAGTCTTTTCCTGGAGCTAATGCCCTGAATTTGGACTTCTAGCCTACTAGATTGTGAGAGAATAAATTTCTGTTTGTTGAAGCCATTCACTTGTGGTATTTCTGTTATAGCAGCACTAGATGATTAAGACAGAGCTCTTACCCCAGATAGGTGCATGAATTGCTCTTCACCTTTTTCACATTTTTGCTCAAATGTCATCTTCTTGTGGGGCCTACTCCAACTATCCGATTACAATTGCAATCCACCATTTCCCATCTCCCTTGGTATGCTAGTATGCTTTATGTATTTTGTAGCATGTATCACTTTCTTGTTGTTGTTCGTTGCCATGGAGCTGGCTCCTGACTCATGATGACCTTATGGATAACGGAATGAAACATTGCCTGGTCCCGTGCCATCTTCAAGATCATTGGTATATTTGAGTCCATGTTTTGGCTATTGTGTTGATCTTTCTCATCAAGGGTTTCCCCCTCTACTTTACCAAACATGTGTCCTCTGCTAGCATTTGATTTTTCCTGATGATGTGTCCAAAGTAAGCAAGTCTTTAAGTCTTGCCATCCTTGCATCTAAGGAACATTTTGGTTGTATTTCTTCTAAGACTGATTTGTTTGTTCTTCTGGAAGTCCATGGCATGTTCAATATTCTTTGCCAACCCCACAGTTCAACTGTATCCATTTTTCTTCTGTCTTCCTTTTTCACTACCCAACTTTCAATCACTCTGTCACATACTATATAATTTATTTACTTATCTTGTATATTTTTTGTCCACCTGTATTAGTCATCTAGTGCTGTTATAATAGAAATACCACAAGCGGATGGTTTTAAAAAACAGAAATTTATTATCTCACAGTTTAGGAGGCTAGAAGTCTGAATTCAGGGCACCAGTTCCAGGGGAAGGCTTTCTCTTTCTGTCAGCTCTGAGGGAAGGTCCTTGTCATCAATCTTCCCCTGGGGCTAGGAGTTTCTCAGTGCAGGGACCCTGGGTCCAAAGCACGAGCTTCATTCCTAGCTTTTCTTTCTTGGTGGTAGGAGGTCCCTCCTCTCTGCTCTTACCTCCTGTAGGGCAGTGAAGGGCAGTGACTCAAGATACACCCCACACTAATCTTACCTCATTAACGTAACAACTATTACCTAATCCTCATTAACATGACCTAATCCTGCCTCATTATCATAATGGACAGCTCACTCCCAAATAGGACCATACCCACAGGTATAGAGGATAGGATTTACAACACACTACAAAACGGAGAATAATCACATCACTAAATGGAAGACGACCACACAATACTGGGAATCATGACCTAGCCAAGTTGACACATATTTTGGGGGGACACAATTCAATCCATGATAACACCACGGGAGAATATAAGCCCCACAGAGGAATTTAAGCTCAAACAGGAATTTTTCGCTGGTGTCATCATTGCTGTATCCCTAATACCTAGAATAGTGCTTGGCACATAGCAAGTGCTTAATACTTATTAACTGAATGAATGGGTATAATCTTACTTATTTTAATGGCGGCAGGAGGTTCACTGTATGTATGATGCAATCATAACAGCACAGTAGTGGCCAATATTCATAAGACATGCCTACTACTGTCCTAAGTGCTTTATGGATTTAGAGTCACAGTAATCTTCTCAATAAGGATCTCTGGTAGCACAGTGGCTAAGCCCTTGGCTGCTAACTGAAAGGTCAGTGGTTCGAACCCCCACTAGCTTCTCCATGGGAGAAAGATGTGACAGTCCGCTTCCATAGAGATTTACAGCCTCGGAGACCCTACGGGGTCTCTGTGAGTCAGAATCGACTTGATGGCAGTGGGTTTGGTTAAGGTTAGAAAGACTACGGCTAGAAGTGCCATATTAAATAATTCACTGCACCACAGGGACTCAGCACTGAAAATTGGGCTGGACATTGTGGTAGATGCTCTATTGCCATGCCCAGACTCCCTTTCATTCATTCCCCTAATGGCTGTCATCACACACACACACACACACAAAGCCTTTAGGCCCTTCTCCCCCTGGTTCCCTGCTCAGCCTCATCTTCCCCCCATCCCTATCTTGCCATACTCAACTATTGATGGTATCCTTGTCTCTTCACCCTCTGAACCTTTGCATATGCTCTTCCCTCTGCCTGGAATGTGCTCCCACCCCATCTATCTATTGAACCCCTACTCATCCTTCAAGATCCCGCTCCACAGTTTCCCTGGCAACCCATGGAAGCAGAAGAGATTACCCCCTCCATTTCTGTTACTGCTGTTACCACGCCTTTCTAATCAATGGTTGTAGCTGTTCTCCTGGGACCTCAGTTTTACTCATTCCTGTACCCCAATGCTTAGCAGGGTCTCTGGCACACACTCGACTCCATGTGTTTGCAGGAGGAGGGAAGGAACTCCAGGAAGCTCCCGGGACCGCAAATTCTCTCTGCCCCTCGCAATAGAACATTTACAGCCCCTGCCTGTGTGAGGGGTTTTGTGCTCTTGACTTCAGCAGTAGAGACAGTGTATTCTTGCCCTGTTCTTTCCACCCCTTTAGCCTTCCTTTTTCCATGCCATGCTTCAGCCCTGGAGAAAGTCCTTGCTACAATCCCCCTTTCTCCAGCTTCCATCCCCCACAAAGAAGTCACCTCTTCTAAGGCACAGAGCCGACCCTTGGCCCTGCCACTCCCTTCCTCAAGAACCTTGAATGGCTCCCCGTGGCCTAGAAAACTCCTGCACCCTTGAACAGGGCATGGAAAGCCCTTCCCTGGCTGGCCCATCAGGCGAGTACTGCCTCCCACCCATTGTCTCGTCCATCCTCTAAAGCCCGTCTTTTTCTCTGCCCCTAACAACCTGGTTCTTTCATTTCTTGGTGTCTCAATTCTACCATTTCCCCTTCTCAGGGCCTTATAATCTTCCTTATTTTACAAGGCCCGATTAAATTGTCTGCTCTGAAACTTTCCTAGAGCCCTCCGTGGGAATCACTTTTCCCGCCTAGGCCTGGAAACAAACTCTTGAAACCCGCTGCCATCAAGTTGATTCCCACTCATGGCGACTCCTGTGTCACAGAGTAGAACTGCTCCATAGGGTTTTCTTGACTGTAATCTTTATTGAAGCAGATCTGCAGGCCTTTCTTCTGCGGAGCCCTACATGGGTTCCAACCTCCACCCTTGAGGTTAGCAGCCTTTGGCAAACCACCTGGGCTACCCAGGGACCTATGGCCTGGGGACAGCCCTGAATTTCTTCCCCTAAACCCGGAGCTCTTTCAAGGCACGGTGTGTTCCCTTAGTGCCCACAGGGCAGTCAGGACGGGGTAGGGTTCAATGAATCACCGGTGCTGAGGCTAATGCTGAGCCACACCCCCAGAAGGAAAACGTCTCCTGCGAATGCTCCCTTATCCCAGAAGCTTCTAGTCCCCGCCCCTTTCCCCCTCGGTTGAAGGGGACCCAGAATGTGAGTTGGCGGTCAAAGTCTTGAGCGTTTATGTCTCATCCTCGGGGGCCCTCAACCTGGGACTGGGTTTGTCTCTTCCAGGGAAGCGAGGTGGTCTTACTGAAAGACTGCTCCTTCCGCACTTCTCGCGCAGGGTTCCCGCACACAGCAAAAGTTCCAATGAATTACCTTGGGGGGCTAAGCATGATCGAGGATACCTCTGAGAATTGGGTTGGAGATTGTGGCAGATGCTGTATTGCGGTCAGTCTTGAGCGTTTATGCTTCTGAGCAAGAAATTCAGTGGCTTTCCCCCCTCAAAGGACAGGCAGAGAATGCCCACTCCATGACTCCGCTCGCCTCTTTAAAGTAAAACCACTTGGCAAGAGCAGCCCTCCAACTCCAAGCTCAACCGTCTCGGTGCCGGATACATATAAGCCCCAGATCACTAAGTGCGCGGGGAAGGCGCGGCGCCTTTAAGGGGCGGTGGGTGGGCTGCCTCCTGGCGGCCGGCGCCGCGCATCCCGCCGCCCCGGGTTCCTCGGGCCG